GCAACTTTCTGATAATAAATTTTCACTAGTGAGTGCCGTTGCCACTCGTTCCTGTTCTTCACTCTTTCGTACCGTTTCTGCTGGAGGACTGGGGAGGCGACAGGGCTGGGAGGGCTGCGGGCTCTGGGCTATGGAGGAGGAAGGAGGAGGCTGAATGCAGTTCCCATCAGGCATCTGACGCAGATGTTCCAAAAACTCCGCGAAAGAGACTTTTTTTCCCCAGTGGTTATATAAGAAGTGCAAGCGATGTGAATCCTCCTCAGGGTATTAGTCATAGAGCAGGCACTGTCTTGAAACATCTCCAGTTGACACATCTGTACTTTGAAAAGGAATCGTTTGGCTGCGGTGGGTCTTGTGAGTGTGGCTCGTGGAGATGCGAATCCTCACTGGCACTTTTCCTCTTGCAAAGCATTTTGCAGCCTTTTATTATGTATTCCTTCTAATTGTTTGGTATTGGAAAACTTGGTCAGCAGGGAGTTGCTTTTATCTCCCTGAAATGACAAATACAATCTTAATTGAAAGGGAAACGGCTTCTTCAGATTTATAGATTTATAAGTCTAAGAATCTGCGTGAGTAACTTTAATTAAATTCATCTTCCTGCAGCGCTTCTCATTGTTTCAGTTACCCGAATCTCTACGCGTGTCGCTCCTCCTCGTTTTTCAGTTTGCTTGCAACATGTTATTTAAATGCTTGTCAACTGCCTAAGAGAAGCAGGTATTATTTCAGATGTGGTTCAGGAGGAGGAGAAAAAAGAAGAGAGATGTTATGGCCTTTACGATTTTTGTTCTTTCTGTGAGCAAATATAAGTCAGCACCCACCTATCTGATTTGAGCGGCAGATCAAAACAAAGATAATTGAAAACAATAACAGGACCGTTTTCTTTGGCCTTTGGTTGCGTAAACGGGAGACCGCACGATAGCGATAAGAATACTTTGAATATCATTAAATAGGTAATTAAAGTGCCTGGGGGGATTGTTCACCTATTAAAAGTCTTGGTATTAGCTTCATATTTATGTGGAGTAGAGAGGAAAATTCTGATAAGTTTTAGCTGCAGAAAGATGAGTGGCAGAGATAGCACTGAGTTTTCTATCAGGGCTGCAGAGTATTTTGATGCAGAGGAAAAAAAAGGATGGCTTAGAAATATCGTAGAATGGCAATGTTTTGTGGAAAGGAGATGCGAGTCATCTAGCTATGGCTTTACTGCAATAGAAAACAGTCAAACGCAAAGAGAGAATTGTTTTATCAAAGAAGCAGCGCGATCCCTATGGAGATTAAAAAAGGAATCGTGGTCTCTGAGCTACTGGAGATTAAGAGGCAGACGGATGAGAGTCGAGCGAAGAGAAAAGCAGTTTTGTTCTCGCAAAGAGTGCGTGCCTGGTTCTTTCATTTCAACCAGCAACGACTCCTTTTTCATCCGGGAAAAATGCAGGAATGATGGAAATTAAACTTCTTAATGTGTTTCGCTCTTTCTTGCTGACCTACTCTTAACGAACTTGCAAGGAAAATAGGATAACTATATATGTCTAAAAAAAACCAAGAGGCCGCTGCACAGAGAGATTGAACCCTTAACCAAAATCACTGAAGGGAAAAGCAATGATTTCCTGATCTGCCCACTGAGCAGCGCAGTGGGTCTGGAGGCGGTGCTTTGGCGGAAGCAGCCAAAAGAGGTGCGGCAGCGCTGCATTACATCAGGAAGGGTGTTTGCACTGTGGCCTTCTGTTCTCAACCGTCATCGTTTGCTCAGTTGTTTGCCTTTATTTTTTAAAATGCATTTAACTGTCTGTTGGAAATGAGGAAAGGAAACTTTCTGTCGGCGGGTAAATGCCACTAAGGTATACGTTCGGTCCGGTACGAAATGCTGAGAGACACCAACAATAAAACACCAGGTAGAGGCGATTAGAAGACCGGCCATCTTAGCTGAATGCTCATTAATTTTCTGAATAAGTCAAAGGACAGTTATCACTGCGTTAATATGCAGACTATTTGTTTAAGGAAGGACAAAGACATCAAACTGTGAAGATAAGCTCTGAATTATCATAAAGTCCATTTCGCATGAGAAAATGGTATTCTAATTTGAAAGGAAATATTCATGAGCCATCTTAGTTTATGATTTGAATATAATATACTGAAACTTGTTAATAAGAAATGAGTGGGATTTCTTTTTCCACCATCGCAACAGGTGGCCGTGTAATACAGTCTTAACAAAGTAGCCTTTCAATAATAACACGTGAATTTTAAGAGGAATTTCCAGTGCTCATCGAGGATACAGCAATAAGATCTTACCTTGCGTAGGAAGAAATTAGAGATATTTCCAAAGGAAGATGAAATCCGAGAGGCAGACTTAGACTGACTTCGGTCAGTCGGGTTACTTTTGACAATGCTGAGCAAAGCTGCGAGGGTTACGCGGTTTCAAACTGCAGGTGTTTGCATCTTACTCGAGGAGAAGGAAATGAATATTGATAGAATTGGAGGAAGTTGATGTATTGTAGAGTCAGTAGGGAAATTCTGTGTTTCTAGGTGGGATGGGGACAATACCAACAATGAATATTAACTTGTGAGACCTCTTTAATTGCGAGAACTCACCGAATGCTTTTATTTAACTTTTCTCACGCAAAGATAAAATGTGAGAGTAAACACAGCGAGAATAAACTTGGTTTGGATGAGAAACAAGAATTCTAATTCAAGCGTGCATAAATATTTGTAAGCTATCTGGCCCGATATATGACTTTCTGACCGTATTCTAATCTAATGAGGTTATTCTAAATTTGTGACTGGCTTAAGAACCTTAGTTTTCAATTCCTGACACTTCTCGCTTCATTTAAGCGGGTGATTAATCCGCAGAATAAGGCCGTGTTTGTCTTTGCTGCGGTGCCCGCCGAACTCATAACACGGCCGCTCCTTTTCAATTTTTTTTTTTCAAAATAACGATCCATTCAGATTTAGTGCATCAGATGGTCAAGGTTTGGATGATGTCTTTTTAAGTGAGATATCCAGGTTGGAGAAATTTAGAGGAAAGAAAATGTCAAAACCGTTGTTAGCTTTTTTTTTTTTTTTTAAATTTTTTTTTGGCCGAAACTCTGCTTGCAAGAGAAATTTTGAGATGAAAATTGAGATTTGTGTTCACCCTTGTCTGTAAAAGAAGGCTCTAACCTATCAGTGATAGCTCAGATTGAGCTGCGTTACGCTCACAGGGAAGTTCTGCTGCACCTGACGTACGGTCAGTTACTTGGCATGGGAAGTAATGAGCTTTTTTTAAAGTTTCATTTTATATTTACAATATAGAGCAGTACTGTTGGAGAAGACTAGCGAGTGATGGTCAACCGCAGTAGAAACTGTGGAGGAGAAACCATGCTGGGAGAAGCAACGTTGAGTTTTGAAGAGGCTGAATGTTGTTGGTGCTGATAGAGGAACGATCGTAGTGTTGAACCTAAGCGCTGAAGAGGAAAGAATAGCAGAGTCAAAGAGCAAATTTAGTTAGGTCTAACAAATGGCAGGAGAAGCATCTACTGCCTTGGTTTCTCCTGAGAGGGCTTTACCCTATGCCCACTGATCTGAAATGGGAACTTCTGAGGCTCCTTCAGGTTGCGTCTGAAGCAGTTCAGTCCAAGGTGGACTTTCTTGGGTCCCATTAGCTGCCACTTTTGACCAGACAAAGTTGAGTCTACACAGGTCACAGTTAATATTTTCCTAGAATGCCGTGAAGCAGTGGGTCATCCTTACCCGTGCAGATGTTTACGAGCAGGGCGTGCAAGCTCTCGTTCATTGCTGGTCGAAGTTCGAAGCTAACGGTTGTGACTACATTGAGAAATAAATAGCATTTTGTAGCTGAGAATCGCCTCGGTCAAATAGCATTGTCGTACTCTTTGCATTTACTGTAGTTAACTGGGAAATAAATAGGAAGCATTACTTTTGGAGCAACCTACACATTGAATTGATTTTGCGATAACAGATTTTTTTAGCATAAGAGAGTATATGAAATTATACAACATACAGTATGTCCTCTATGTTACCTGGGGAGCATAAGAATGGAAAGGAATAAGCGGCGTAAGCGGATATACGGTTATGAACGAGATAAAGACTGCGAATACGCTCAGGTTTGTCTTTCTCCTGCTCCTACTGCTCTCTCCGACACAAATGGATGAGATGACCTTCCCCTTGCAGAAGAAAGACGAAGTGTGTAAAGAGATGTGTATAATTTATAAGGTGTTCTCCATAGATAAGAATAAATATCCTACATAAATCACATCCCTGCATGGGTCAGGAACCATTTTCAACGCCGCAAAGCACAGACTGTCAGCGTAGCACGTTTCCAGCAGCGCGTCGCACAAAAAATGAAGCGTATCTGCCACAAAATGAAGATATCATTGTATAGTTTTTGTATACAATATTTTATTTTCTTTTTAATAGTTGCTGTAGGCATCAGCACTTGATTTTCAGGGTTTCGGGGAGGCATTTATTGAAAATCGGAGAACAGCTTGGGTTGGACAGGACCACAAAATCACATAGTCCCAAGCTTCTGCCATGGGCAGGTCTGCCAGCCGCTAGAGCAAGCCATATTCTCCAAGTCCGGTATCTACAGATGTGGAAGCGCATGCGTTTGCATATTCAACTAATTTAATGATCGTCTCTTTTTAAAATACAAGTTCTAACGTAACTTGGAGCAACCAAGCTACTTCCAGAGCATATTATTACTAGCAAAGCTTCAGTCTCCCGAGCTTTAATTAGGAATACCCCGGTGCAGGTTGTCACAAGAATGCCAAAGTAGCTGTAACGAGCGTGGCTGCTATTCGTCGTGGCCACAGCTTCTCCAAACAGCGAGCAGTAGCGGAGCACAAAATTACAGTAACCGAGCAACGAGGAGAAGCAAGATGATTCACGAGTGCTATCCCCCTACTTAGAGATTAATTGAGTGAAAGATATGTTCTGTGCAGCCTGAGTTAATGAGTATAACCAATCGCTCCGGTGAAACTCATAACGCACGTGTCCTGATTGCTTTCTAGGGAGAAAGGAAATCTCGGACAGCTTTTGTCGTGCCACCGCTTGTTATCCGCTGCTAGTTGGCGTCGGGAGACTGAAAGCAGAGAGAGCTGACAGGAGGTAAGGAATTTAGCATTTTGTAATTATGAGAAATGCTATGTAAACAAATAACCCAGTGAGCACTGATGGCATCTGTCGTTCCGTCAAACTTTCCCAGACAATGCAGGTAACTCGGAGTAGAAAGTTTTATTTCTTACTCTAGCGATGAAATAGATAAAAACTATAACTGATATTAGCGCTCTCCTTTGATACGGCAAAAAGTATAGCTGACCTCCTCAAGAGTCTCAAAAGTCTGCTGATGCTTTCCAGTTGTGTTCAAAAGTATAACTAGAGCAGCAATTATTTTACAGTCTGGTTGTTAACAGGGGCAAGGGAGCAAGGTGAGCGAGCCAGGGAGAAGAGACCGTTGTTCAGATGTCACAGGGTGTTTGAGCCGGGGACAGAACATAAGCAGAAAACTCTTATAGGATAGCAGTTAGTTATAAAATATTACGGCAGTAGAAATACCGGTGCAGTCGAAGCACGGGAGCTTTGCTTCCTGCCATTCCACTGCAAGCAGAAAGGAATTGGTGTGCGTCCCAGTGTTGGTTTTGGTTTTCTCTGGACTTTGAGAACTTTGGCAGAAGGTCCTTTCACGTCAGTGTCAGCAGTGGGCACTGACTGTCTTAAGTTACGGACTACATCTGGTGCTAAACGTGAGGGGTTTTTTTATTAATCTCTTATTTATTTATTTATTTATTTATTTATTAATAAGTATATATTTTTCCAAACGCTTTTCCTCTCCAGATCTCAGGCTACCTTCCCTCCTATAAGGAAATAGTGCCCATCACTCAAATGATGGGGGAAGGCTTCTCTTAGGACTTGAGGCAACAGATCTACTTAGGATTCTGAGAAAGATACATTCTCGCATTGCTGGGAAGAAGAGAGCAAAAAGAAATACAAAACAAACAGCTATCATTTGTCAATATTGGTTCCATGCCACAGGTGAAATTTTCACTAATTAGAAATCACCTGGAGGCTGTGCAGCAGATTGAGTCTTCAGCTGGAAGTGCTTCATGACAGGTGGCTTACCACAAGGCAACATCACAATTACCTAACATTGCTTGACTTGTGTAAACTCTAATAACCACTCTCATTGTTTAATGACCTGTGCACACATTCGCACCTCCCCACAGTACACCACAGTCCTCAGTCAAAGATTTCACGGTTTGTAATTAAGTATGAAACACTGTAAGTTTGTAAGAAAGCTTGTAACTATGAAAGCATGTAAGCTTGGTTTTAAACTTGAAAAATTATTCCTAAATTGGTAAGGTTGAAAGATTGTAAGTGCATTTGAGAGTATGAAAGTAAACTTGAAAGTAAGCTCCCATGTAAATTTGAAAATTGGAAGGATTCTAAGTAAATAGGAAAGCTTGTAGGTTTGTTTGAAGTCTGAAAGTTCAAAGTTTGTCTAAGTGTGCCCCCTTGCCCCCTTGCCCCCTTGCCCCCTTGCCCCCTTGCCCCCTTGCCCCCTTGCCCCCTTGCCCCC